TATTTAAGAAGTGAGGACAGTGTGACTGCAGATCTCCTCCCAAATTCCTAGTATTGTATTTCCTCTGAAGTCTGTTAATATTTGGGGCAAGCACTGAGAAAAATTATTATGTGAATAAGCTTCATGTGTTTAAGTGCTGCATAGCTGATTACAATTCTGTTGGCATCCTTTCTGTCACCTCCAAACTTACACAGTGAGGTCATTCTTACTTTCTATTAGGATTAGAACTATTTTAGTAAGGCAGAATGGTAGTAAGAGGCCTCACATCATTTATTTCTCAGTACATAACACATCCTAATATGACAGTGTCAGAAAAGAAGTCCCACAGACTTCTCGCTAACTACTCTGGGATCACAGAACAGACTCCCTTCTATTTGTCTTACAACTTAAAGGACTAAGGAACACAGGAGACTAAGACACTAACGTCTTGCTTAGAGGCTATTGTTCCATCTTGTAGGCACGCATTTACCTTCTATTGCACACCGTGTGAGGCCTCAATGGATGCACACTCTTCTGAGTGTCCAAGCCTTTAGCTGACCAAGAACAACCACTCGTACTTCCTTATGACTTCGTTCCCCTTTGTGCTTTTCAAATCTTGATTCTTTATCTTTTTTAGCCCAATTTTTACTGTGTGGATTCTTTCATATTGTTTCCTTTCTTTTTCCTTCGTTATATTTTATCTTACCATAGACTGTACACATGGCTTCTGACATCACTTTAGTGAAATTAGATCATGTGGCCGAGAGTGTTTGGCTGTAGACATGTCATATGAGTTAGGAAAAGCAATGGTTAGAATTTGATCAGTCGGTTGCTGAGAACTTTTCCCATGGGTACCAGAAAGTTTGATTCTTGTTACAAAGCCTTTAAATTTCCAAAACAAACCATTTGTTTTTGAGGTAACTTTATATATAATATATTGATAAAGTCAGAAACATCACAGAGAGAATTTACCTATTAGTAAACATGTTAGAAGTAGATTCATTTCATTTAGTAGTTATTTAAAAAACCAAACCTTTATTTCAGAGAAAAATGTTTTCATAAATTCTTCTAATCTGTATGTTACCCTTACATTATTTTTCCTTTCTTTCTTTCTTCCTTCCTTCCTTCCTTCCTCCCTCCCTCCCTCCCTCCCTTCCTTCCTTCCTTTCTTTCTTTTTTGAGACAGTTTTCATTATGTAGTTCAAGATGGCTTAGAATTCACTTTAGCTTAACCTGGCTTCAAACTCTTAGTGTTCTTGCTGTTCTGTCGTCTCCTAGGTCCGAGGGCCCACACACTGCTAAATAGCGTCTTTGATAATCAGCTTGTAGGGTAAAAATACCTTTACTAGTCGAAGTTACATTTGAGAGTTCAGTGTTGATCCAAGTCCTTTGCGTATTACCTTAAAGCAAACAGTTTCATGAACTGAACGTACCCAGGAGGCACAGATGGGTGTCCTCTCTCCTTATTCCCTGTCTTGCTCAGTCAGTCATAAACATGCTGCTTCTCGTCTGCATGTGTGTTCTAGTATGATCAGTTTACAAACGTGTTTATAGTTCTTTTAGTTGGAACTTTTGAAGAATCTCTTAAATAGATTGGAAATGGAATAGAGCAAACTAGAATCTCTAGGCAATTTTGTAATTAATGTATGTTTCATACTAAAGTGCGACTAAGCCTGTGGCTTGACAGAAAGGAAAAATAACCAACTCAAGAAAGAAACTTTATCATATTCTATACCCGTGGCCACCAGAGAACATGGATATTTATAATGGTGCCAATTCTCCTTTTTTTAAAATGTAGCTTGAACCTTGTACTTTACAATTAAATATTCCCCAATGATTTTTATTATACCTGCCTAAACATGTTTGTTCCTATTTATATGAATAAAATTTATACATATATTAAGCATCTAATAGTGTCTGCTATATTCCAGGATCTAGGGTTTGGGTAATACACCTTGCCCTCAGGGAGTTGATACTATTCGACAAACAGTTCTAAAGTAATGAGCATGTTAGGCGATGGAATCATGGTTTTCTATTTTCCTTTACTTTTTTCATCATAGCTGGTCCAGCTTTACAGAGAAGATGGTATCTATAGCAATGTAAACAAGAATAGATTTGCTGGGTGGCAGGGATACGGGGTGTTCAGCCAAATGAAGTGATCACGTATAGTACACTATTGGGGTTCAGTAGCTGCTATGGGCAGAAGCCCCGAGAACTCATCCCTCTAAAGATACAGGGATGTGAGACCATAAGCTAAAGAGTTGTGTGTGTTGGTTCTGTGTTGAGGTGTGGTACTGAAGCAAATGTGAATTCATTTGGCTTTTCCAGGGTTGACAACTTCTGTTGAGCAGCAAAGTGATAAGCATGGGAGTTATAGTGACGTGGGTACAAATGTGAAGGACAGCACAGCACAGAAGCAGCCTGTGTAGATTGTAGACACTGGTCTGGGGAAGACACATAGTGGGGGGAGGGGGACGGTACACAGTCATGCAGGACTTTATTCCCCTTTGGTGCAGGGTTTTCAACTCTTGTGAAAACTTAAAATGACCCGCTGTGTGAAGGTGGCAGACGGGTGTGCATAGGTCTAGGGAAGGAAGGCGACTTTGGGAAGGAACCAGTCAAGGTGGAAGCTGGGGGAAGTTTGACACTGGCGAGAGCGGCAACAGAAGATGTAGTCAGACAAGCAGGAGTTTCAGGGGGAGATCAGACCTACGGATGACTGTTTGAGCAAAGAAATAAATGTGGCACATAAGATCACCCACCACTGAGCGAGTGAAACCTGAGGAGAAGAGGATTCAAGTGGAGGTGGCTCGAAGGTTGCTGTGTAAGTGAGGGAGCAGTCCAAGGCTCTGCAGAGACTCCTAGGCAGATGGAGGGCCTGCAGGACCCTGGAATTTATAGAGGTGATAGTCTGCACGTGCTTTCAATGTGTATTTGAGTACATTCACATATAATTGATTACATCTGTATATGTGTGTTACTTTTGTGTCCTCGGGTAAGCTCAGTCCCACCATAGTAAACAATCGTTTGTATACCCTTGCTTTTGGAAGTCACTCGGTCTGTATCTTTGTCACTGTCCTCAGGGTGCTGAGACAGTAGTGTTGTTTCTGCCCTTGGAAGCATGTGGTTCAGTGGTTCCAACATACAAGAAAATAAAATGCTTCATCGACAGGGGTGATGTGTAGAGGTAATTCCGAAATGATGATGCTAGTGTGTAAGTGAGTAGTGTGATGGATGTGTCACCTCTGGCTTTCCTGGAGGTGTGGTGTGGTGGCTGATGAGGGGTTAATCAGTGTGGGCTGGAGAGGAGGTGAGCACATGTGTTCTGTGTTCGTGCCATGGAGGCTCTGAGAAACTGTGACTGCTGAGCAGAGACCGAGCATTAGACAGAGTACGGACTTGCCAGAACTGGACAGACTGACCTTGCTTGGGCAGAGCTGAGCCTTAGGACCTGAGGACTCTTCTTGAACACTGTGGTTAGTTACTTCTTCACTCCCTGTTAGAAACTGCAGTTTTCTGTTGAGTGTTTTCTAAATATAAAAACCTGTTAAGTAGCTTGAATTTTCTCTGAATACTATTAAGAATACTAGGATTAGTCCTAAAAAAATTTAAATTCTACTAGATAGTCAGGCTTTTAGGACGGATATCTTCGTTGCCTCTATTCTATATCCCAAAATTACGAAGGTACCATTTATGTCCAGTTTCTTTTAAAAAACTGACTGCAATCACCATTACTCTGTGTTGTTGGTGACTTGGAAGGTGCTAGTTAGAAAAAATCCTGACTTTCTTTACCGACAGTGTTCAGAAGGAAAGCAACCCCAAACATACACACTTTTATTTTTGTAACTAGTTAAATTTTTGTGAATTTTTTTCTTGTCCTTTCTAAAGGGAAAGTAAGCTGGTGAGCAAAGCTGCCCTGTGCTAAGGAGTGTTCTCCTAAGTTAACAGAGCCTCAGGCAACCGCCTCGGCCCCCACCCTCCAGCATAGTGTGGGACTGAGCCTCCGAAGTGCATCCTGCTGCCCAAATCAAATTGCTCACTTAATAATTAATGTTCCTGCAATGGAGTCACTTTCTCCCTGGAGGTTGACTTCAGATTTACCAGACACACTGACAACACTGCGCTCCTTATTCTTGCCACAAGACCTCAGCTTCTGCTTTAAAAATGTCTGAATAAAGGATGCTTTTGTTCCTACCTCGCCTGCCTGTGATATAGTGACACAGTGTCTGATGGCTGAATGGAATAGTTTTACAGTATGAGTGCTGCTTTCAGCGGAGGGGCAGGACTTGGGCTTTAGGAGGAAGTGAATTGGATAGGTCAGGAGAATGTACCATTCGTAAACACCCCTTTCCTTTTTTATTCACGTGTCGGGGCAGCAGCAGCAGGCTGCTCAGTGTCCACCCCTGGGAAGTGCCAGAGGGAAAGCAGCTTGGACTTCAGCTGCGGATTTTAGACCTTTATTTGATTCCCCCGGAGAGATTGTCGAGTCCTTGGACTTCTTGCGTTAGAAGCTATTTGGAAACTAACATGGTTTAGTCCACTAACTGCATGTTGGGTAAATTCAAAACCCACATGCTCGTCCTCTTGCAGTGGAATAAGTCACATCTGATGGACATTTTCTGTGCTTATAGCATAGTAATGAACGTCTGACAGGCGCGACCTTTCATAAGACAACCCACACTATTGGCTTTCTGCCCAGAATATTGCTGCAACACTATCTGTGATTGGTTATCTCTTTATCATGCATTGCTTCACAAGGGGAAACGGCCCCCTTTTTAATAAATCTACGATGGCTGGCTGCAATATGCCTCACTGTAAGTATTTTGCGTGTGTGTGTGTGTGTGTGTGTGAGAGAGAGAGAGAGAGAGAGAGAAAGAGAAGGAGAGAAAGAAGAGAGAAGCAGAGACAGAGAGAGGCTGACTTTGAGTTGCTTAGTCTGGTATCACATGGCAAGGTTGTGGTACTATAGGACATTAGTGAATGCTACTTAGTAAATCTTAACCTATCTCTTTTCTCTACAGGTTGGTACTAAGAAGTGCCTTTCCTGACGTCTCTGCTGCTTGGAACCGCTTCTAGAGCAGCCTCTGCTTTTGCCTTGCTTGCTGCCAGCTAGACTGTGACGACAGCACATCCGCCCTCCACCTCTAGCCCAGACACCCCCATTTCTACTTCTAATCAGGAGAAAAGCTCTGAGTATCTGCCATTGCCCTAGGCTGCTTTAGTTTAGAAGAAAAGTTTGCTGAAAAAGTAAGATACCTTCTGCCAGGAAATCAAGGAGGAAAAAAAAAATCATTTTCTCGATTTTGCTCTAAACTGCTGCATCTGTCTATGCCAAACTAATCAATACCGATTGCACCACCAAACTCCATCGCAAATTCAGCTGTGAGGAGATTCCCTGTCAGACAACTTTGCTGAGAGCAGCTTGGAAATCCGGTGTCAGAGGGTCTGCCACGTTCTCATGCTTGCATTTTGGGCTCCAAATTGGCACTGGGAAGGGGTTACTGAGCACAAGGCTGATTCCAGGCCCTCCTGTAAGCACCCATCCACTCACAATCCTGGTATTTCTCTAAAAACCAAAACCTCTTTGAATTAACAGTTTCATGCTGTGAATTTCTAGTGGAGGTCTAGTGATATTGAAGTCACACTTTTCCACGTGCCGTGAAAGCAGGGAGTGGGGAAACAGCCTTCCGGACATTCTCATTGCCATTTCACACTTCTGAGTTTTATCAGTTCCTATCTTGTTTTGTTTTTGTTTTTGTTTTTGTTTTTTTTTGTTTTGGTTACTGATTTTTTTTTTTTTTGAGAGGGTTGGGTTTGCTGGTTTCATTGACCATTTAACTACCTGTAAAATATAAACATGGCTGTTAGTGTCACACCAATTCGGGACACAAAATGGCTAACACTGGAAGTATGTAGAGAGTTTCAAAGAGGGACTTGCTCACGGCCAGACACGGAGTGTAAATTTGCACATCCTTCGAAAAGCTGCCAAGTTGAAAATGGACGAGTAATCGCCTGCTTTGATTCACTGAAAGTGAGTAAATAATTCTGTACTTTTAAGGATATGCAATGATTGATTAAGGGGTATGGGCACACAGTACAGTAAGTTTGGGATTATGGATTGTTTTGTTAACACTTTAGTTATGCAGCATGTTCTGGTTCATGGTGTTGGACTGGGACTCTCAATGAGATGTCATAGAACCAAGTTCAGCCAAACTTACAAGGAACTTTATCAGGCCTTTAACTCCAGTCGCCTTGATTTCTCCCCCTAGAGCAGAAAGTGTTGTGTACCGATGCAGTTGTAATATGATGATAACCAAGTATGATCTTTGTTCAGCAATGGTAAATGTTCCTGTTCAACACTTTCATGTGTTAGAATAAGGCCAAGACAGTCACTGATTGAATATGAGTTGTTTTCCTTTGCTGGTAAACTTGTCAAGTCCTTAGAAATGAATGGCAGATTCTATGTCAGCTGATCATGGGTACATCTTTACTTTTCTGTGAGATAATTTTTAGTGGCTAAAGCCATGCAGTTTTGGAAAAACTTGACTAGATGTAAGATTTCTTTCAGTTGATATAGTAGCTTATGTGAACCACATACTTTATTGAATGTGAGCTTTATATGTAGGTACGAACCAAATACTGTTCTTTATTAGATTTTTCATACTGAGGAAATACATATGTTCTTTTGCTGTGAGAGTCTTACCAGTTGTTACTTACTATGTTTTTGGTCAGAAATGTTCATAGTTAGCTTTGTATGCATGATAAGAAGAAAAGATTTATGTTAGCATGTTTATCAAGTTTGAAATGGATCTTATAAAAGATTGCAAGCATGTCTATTTTGAAATACAAGGGCAATATTAGAAATGTGTTCTGGGGTATCTTCAACTTACTTGGTTTAATCAGATGGATTATTGAATACTAAATACCTGCAATTAATTCTTTGACTCTTCCAAGATGATCACCATCCTATCTACATCTGTAAAGAAGTCTCATAGTTCCATCATGTCCTTTTGAAAACACAGCATACTGTAATCCAAGTGCTGTTCTCACCACATCAGGGTGAGTTAGAGGTTAGCCGTTTCACCCGGTTGCTTTTAGTTCACTTTGGGATTCTCACTTTGGTAAAGTTTTTTTGCCAAGGATTTCAAAATTTCATTCTTTAGAATAGGCTGAGAGGAGGTGTGTGATAGTAACCACAGATCTGTGTCAGAACAGCAGGCTATCGGCAGAGCCCTAGAGACAGGCAAGCAGGAGCTGTCAGTTACTACAGCCCCTGCCTTGGCCTTGAAACACAGGCACAGCGTTGATACATTCAGGAATGTCAGTCCTAAATTAATGGTCACGAATTCAGGTGTAATTTAGAGCCAGGGATCCATAAAATGAAGAGCAGAGGACTAATTGCTCTTGTTGTTAACCAGCCGTGTTCATAAGTAACTCCCTTTCGACCCAATTCCTAGCAAATCCAGTTTTTAATCCTATAGGTAATTGGTGGTGAACTCCTAGCTATGAAATGAAGGACATTACTTTTGGCTGTGATGCTGAATGGTTTCACAGAAGACCTGCCTACACAGGGTTTGGAAACATTGTGAGCTATTAATATTCAGTTTCTATTTTTCCACCTCCAAATATTTTTTTAAGTTACTATTCGCTTGTGGTCAGAGAACAGTTCCCCTTTGAGTAAAGTAGCAATCTTACAGACACGCCGTGTGGTTAACGAGATTCAACCGCCACATCAAGGACGTTTTAAAAAAGCAACAACAACGAAAAGAATGTTAACTTTTAAAGTCTATTCGTAAAATGATTTTATTATACAAGTAATCACAGCAAAGTCCACCCTTTTCCTTTGGTTTTTTAAAAATAGGCTGAGTTTTGTAGTTTAAATTTTGTTTTTTAAATTTGGTAAAATGTTTTTTTTTATTTGATTAGACAGACAAATTAACACAAATTTATTCATGATAGAATTTTATACCCGGACAATAGCTCCTTAAATGTTAGTCAGATAAGTAATAAGAATCAATCAACTCTGTTTGGATGTGCAGTTAAGTATTTGTGTCTCATGTGTCACTGAAAGAGCCCTCCTTCTTTATATGGTGTTTGGAATTCTACCTTTTAGCTAGCAGTCTTCTGGTGTTCATGCTTGTGGCTAAAATAGATCCAGAACACATCTTAAAACACTTAAGTATCCGTATGACTCATGCTCGAAGTTCTGAAGTTTGGAGCATTCTGAGGCTTGCAACCAGCAGATCATCTCGCTTGTCTCAGAGTAAACAGACGTTGTACAAGCAAAACTTGTAATAGCCTGACTTCTTTAATGAAATCTGCTTTCTGTATTGCTTTTAATCCCCGTTCCAGCCTCTTTTGAGTTCTTGAGCCATGAGATGGAGGTAGCTTGTGTAATCTACTATTTTTAGAAAGTTAGGAAAGCAAACCAAATACTCTCTGAGAGGACCCTGTGAAATGGCTGTACCCTTCAGCTGTGCTGTTTCAGACTTTGGCTGAGCTCCCAGGTGACTTAGGTTTATAGCTCACTTCTGGTTAGAAGAAGAGAATTCCCTCATTCCCTGGCCCCCAATACACACATGAATGTGTGCGTGTGTATGTGCTCGCACACGCGCATGCACACACACACACCAAGTTTAACAGTAGAAAAAGTGTTAATCTAAAAAAAATCACTAGGCATATTACTGGAGATTATGAGGAGAAAATTAGCTGATAGGGTTTCATTGGCATACTGGTGATGTTAAGTTTTAAAGATGGGATTAAGTTTAGCTGTAGTACAGTAAAGCAGCTCTACTTCGTAATAAATGTGTTACAACAGTTGGATTGTGGTAAGTAGGAATGTATGTGCGTGTTACATCTTTCCATATGTAAACATGTAAACTAAAGATAAGTAAGAGGTCAAGTGTATAAACTAAATAACATTTAAGTGCTTCGTTAATTTAATTTTTATTTGCACTTGTAGTTTAAATTTATGGTAGTCTACAAGTGACTTCTGCCTGTGGCTTGAAAGCCTTATAACTTGCCGGTTGGTGTGCATGAGACACTTCAGATATTCGGAACAGCTGACCAAGCGCATCCTTGTTTTCTGAGGAGGGTTTTTGTGGCTGATGAATGGGTCACCCAAAGAGAAAAAACAGATGGGAAGAGAAGGTCCCAGCACTCCAAGCTGCCGGAAGAGTGATACCATGTTTCAGTAGTGCTCTTTCCTGTCATGTTAATGCAGGGCTGCTCTGGCCTGTTCACTCAGCTTCGCTGTTCAGAGTCTTTGGGAAGAGTCCACAGAATGTATTTTCATGTGGAGGTGAATATACTTAGGCTCAAAAGTGAAGTGTTCACTATGTCATCCGTAGAGATAAACCTCTGGTGTTAACATCTGGATTAGACAGTAGGAATGATTTGATGAGATTCCCTCAAAGTGCTGAAGTTAATTTCAGAACATCTCCTGTTATTACCACAGAGTATTTGCAACATAACAATGGCTGGCATCATTACTGTTCTTTTAGAGATACCAGATCATGGTCTTTTCATCATGTTTTACAAACAATTTTGTCTGAAAATTCTGGAAAAATGAAACGCATGAGACCTGCAAGTCCATTCAGTTTTGCACTATAATTTTAATGTTGTATATCCCTACTTGCACTAACTTCTGCTAAGCATTTGATGCCCTCTTCCTGACAGCACTTCACCTGTGATGTTCCAGTGTGAAAAGATGTTCACATCCTGTATTCTCAAACTTGTGCACACATGTACGCATTGTTTCCTTCTGTGAGAGGTTGACACAGCGGGTCCTTTGCCTACAGTGATGCTTTCAGAGATGGACTCAGAGTAAGACAGAGCTTGTGAAGCAGTGTTACTGGCTTTCACTTTTTTTCCAGTAAGCAGAACTTCACAACTCTGAGACGTTCCTGTGCCTATGTGGCAAAATCATTAATTCTGACAGGAACATTTCTGTAACAAAATGCCCAGTAGTTATACTGCTTCAGCAGTACTAATAATAACTGTAGGCATGAGCCTGTTCATGTCCTTCAATTCTTTAGAAATATATTTTTTATTCATTTTTCTCTTATTTTTGAGATTATAATATAATTATATTATTTCTCCCTTCTATTTTCTCCCTCCAAACCTTCCTGTTTACTCCTCTTGCTCTTTTTCACACTTATGGCCTCTTTTTAATTAATTGTTGTTATATGCAAACACACACACACACGCACACACACACACACACATGTATTTTTCCCCTAAACACGAAAGCACAACCTGTTGCATCTATATAATGTTACTTGTATGTATGTTTTCAGGTATTGGGTAACCAATTACTGTGCTCCTCCCGGAGGAAGACTATTTTTTCTACTCTGAAGAACTTGCCTGTAGTTCTTTGTGTAGTGTTGAGGCCTCCTGGTATTTCCCCTGTTCACTTTGGCACGCCTCTTGATATTGTCCTTGTTGAGCGTACACACGAGCCGTCATGTTGATAATAGACTTTATGGGTGAGCGCCTGACATTACGAGGAGACACAGTCTCACAACAAACTTTCTGGCCCTCCGGCTCTTGACAATCTTTCCAACCCCTCTTCTTCTATGTTCCCTGAGCCATAGGAACAGGGCTGTTTGTAGATGTAGCCATTGGGAATGGCTCGTCCAACTCTGCATTTTGAATGGTGTGGTTTAGAAAGCTATCTTAACTGAGTGACTATTTTTAAACTATCAGACAAACAAAATGGAAGATGTAAAGCTACTTAAGGCACAGATTCTTGCTGTTTTCCTTTCTTTCGTAGGAATTTAACATCCTGCTTCTCCTTTTTCCTCATTAAATCTTTTTCACTGTGTTAGAGAGATCATGGAAAAACTACTTTAACCCAAAGTAGCATAGAATGTAAACAGGTTCAAAGTTTGCCTGCATGTCAGATATCTGCAAGTACTCAAATTCATTCAGTAGCCTCTTAGCAATGCTGTGTAAGTTCTCTGTGCTCTGTAGGGTAAACTTAGTGTCGTGGGAGTGGAGCATGCATCCAATTCACACGTGCTTCCAAAC